CTATACTAAAAAGAATAAAGAGAGAAGTTGCAGAGAGCAGCTATGCTAAGAATAAAATAGAAAGAATCAATAACAAAGTTCTGTGTCCAGAGAATCTGTCCCTGAGCTGCTCCTGTGATTGGCCTTTAATAGTACACATAGAAAATGAGCCAACCACAGAGACACCTGCTACATTTCACAGCAGCTGATAACAATTGTTTACATTCTTCTTCTGGGGCTCTGCTTCCCAGAAGATAGACAAATGTGAAAGAAAAGATTTCTATGAAAAAATGTCTGCGACACACCAAGATTCTTACCTCAGGAAAAATACCTACCTGTGAGTATGAAAACTCCAGCCCAGTGACAGAGAAGAGAACTTCTGCACATGTAAGAAGAAAATACTGAGGGATCTGCCAAGCCATATGGACTGTATTTGGTGCAATATCTTCAAAGTGTGTAATGAAAAGGTTTTTTTCAACACACTAAAATTAAAAATAGCATGTTAGGAACAGTAATAATGAGTGTGCACAGTTAAGGCATTCTAAGCCATTCTATAATTATATAGAAAGTTCAGAGTAAATAACAAATATTGCACATGAAGCACTGCATACCTAGTTATAAAAAAATAGCTTTTTTACAGCAGACTTCATGCAAATCTGTAGTGTCTAACAGGGCTAAAGGTTTAAGGCCATTAGTGGTGATCATGAATTCTTGCATTATGTTATTACTGTAACCATCCTTATTTTTATAGTTAACAATGGTTTTGTGTCCTGTTAAGGATACCAGAATTCTACCCTCTGTACTTAAAGACAAGAGGAAATTAAGGATTAAAGACAAGAGGAATAATTCTACAAGTGTTTTTTTTAATTAAAGGAAAGTATCAACATGGAAAGGAATTCTATCTATTTTGTCCATGCAACAAGTGGTAACTCACATCATCAAGTGAAATGGTATAGGCAGCACCATATCCAAATTCCTTTGAATCAACTGTACAAGTGTCCTGAGGCATTGTAGCCTTAATGGTATATGACCTGAAAAAGAAAAAACCCAAACCCCACAGTTCAGATCACAGGTGCTGTCAATTGTGTGCAGCACATAATTTAAAAAAGCTCTGCGCCCTTTTCCCAAGGACAAGTATGTGTAGCAGATTAAATTAGGATAAAGGAAATGCTTACCAGCCTGCATGTGGAATGACGCTGTAATTACTGACAGAAAAAGGTTCCAGTACTCCAAAATTTATGTCACCCATAGTAACATTGACAGGAAAACTGAAATTGTTTATGAACCTTTAAAATGGAAGAGTGATCAAAAGTGTGATTAAATACTACACAAAACATACAGAAGTCAAAGAATCCAGGTTTTACTTTCAATTATATATTGGCAGCACAACAAGTATCGAGTCTTCCTATTGAAAGCCTTTTTTTTTTTTAAATCAATTAACATTTTGGAAAAAACTCTAAATCTCCTAGAAATGTAGCTAATACAAAAAGCAGTTAGATCCCCATCAGCCCACTACCTCAGGAGAACATCAAAAGTGAGCCACTACTACAACCACTAGGAAATGCATCTACAAGTGGGAGATGCAGAAGAAAAGCAGAGAGGGGAGAGGTGATCTTGGATACCTCATATGCAGGATTAAAAATGAGATATAGATATGTAATCCATGCCATTTGTTCAATAAAAAAAAAAATCTAGGCAATGGAATGAAGCATACACTTCCAATTTTAGCTAAATTACACCCAAGCAGGTGTGCAAGATAACTTAAGTGAATCGTGACTCAGACATTATCCCATCCCCTAAAACGTCAAGGGAAGTGTCCAGCAAGATGTGAGTTCCTAAAGTATAGAAAACTTTATTTCAACAAGAAGAGGCTACCCAAAGACAGATTGAAGAGAGAGTCACATTAGTGTCAAAATTTAGGTAACATAAAAAGCTGTACCTGACGAGGCTTTTTCTGTTTTCTGGTTTTGATGTGACATTGTCCTCTACCTAGTGGAAGAGACCATTATCAAAATATGTTCTTGGCATCAGAGAACACCTTAAACATGCACTATTACACAGCAGTGGGACTTAACAGAGGCTTCAGAGCAAGACTCCAGACCTTCCTCTTTAGGTCCCTACTAGCACACACATCTACTAGCAAACACTGTATGACCACACACCTAAGTCTTGGTGAAAGTGTAGTTGTCAAGGTACATAAGAAATTGGTAATTTTTTTTCTAAAGGACATCCTGGTGTACTCTCTGCAGTTTACCAGTCTTACTGGTCCAGCAGAGACAAGGAGAGACAGAAAACAAGACAGTGGAAAAAATTTATCCAGAGCTTGTCCTCTCAGCCTCACACACTCCACATAGATCGTTGTCAGAACATTGATTCATATATTAAGAAATAAGCAGACTTACCCTAGTAGAATTGATGTCTGTTGGACGCTGTTTAAATGCCAAAGTGTAGCGTTGTTTCTCTTGCAGGTCCAAATGCTCAGTTTTATTTAGATTTGCAGAAATTATGTCTAATGATTGCAGTTTAGAAGTCTCAAATGTCATGTAGGCAGTCTACAAAGACAAATTGCAATGGATTTCTGTGCAACTGTGTACTTGTCTATTGAGAGAATGTTACGGGCTCTGGGAGGGTCAGAAATTTACACATGTTACTTCTGAAGTGCCAGAGATCATGAACATCCCCTCATTTTCATTTTTGATTTGTTTTCTACATCAAGCATTAATTCCATTTGATCATGATTTTTTTATTAGTTTAATTTGTTACACAAGCTTCACAATTACATGAGCTTCCCACAAGCATTATGGAATAGCTGCTCTATTTTCCTATTTCTTGCTCCAGATAAATCAGGCTTACCAAAAACACCCAATAAAATTCTGTTCAGCCACAGAGGTAGGACTAGCATAAGATGTGATGCAGTATTTTCCAAAAAAAGCAGTAACGCTATGCTTTAAATACTTAAAACACATTTATTCAACATAAAATACTTAAACCATTAATAAACATGTTAGTGCTACACTAAAATAGGCTCTTTGTTTTATGGGATTATCAAAAGCACTTTATAATCCACATCTGGATGATAAAGTGTCTGTAATAGGAAACAGACCACTCTATACCTTTCATTTTCATCTGTGTACCATGGTACATCAATTCCCTGTCTGTATATAGTGTGGGTGCCCTTATCTTCTCCTCACAACTCTGTTCCTGTGTGAGGCAAATTTGGAGGAGGTTGGACTAAGATCTCTCCTCTTCAAGGGAAACAGAGCTGCAGGCTATCAGAGAACACACATTCTAAGTTTCATTATCCAAAACATCCATCAGAGCCACCACATTTTGCTGTCAATAGAACTACCAATGCTGTGCTGTATTAGAACCTGAATAGTTCTTTGGCAGAAAAACATGAAGCCTAATTTGTGATGTGGCCACAGAAGAAGTTCCCTGTTCAGGTAAGTCATTCCTCACAGTAATAGCAGCAACTCACTAGAGCTGAATGGATATTAACTGCAGGAAGGGGCTACTTTTAGGAAATGGAGCCTTTTTAACAAGAGTGAAATTTTCATCTAATTCCAGGTTATTTAAGTTTATTGTCAGAACTAAGTAGTAATACTTCAAATATTAACATAGTTACTATTTGATTAATTGCTGTGTTTTCATTACAGTTCATTCCACAATTTAAAAAAAAGAAAAGAAAACATTAAAATTATTAGAGTAAACATGTCCGAGAAAATAATCAATTTTGAACCATTCATTAAGAATTACTCTGACTTACTCCATTCATTTTTTCGGCCTAATTAATTTTAATTATTTTTTAATATTACACACCCACCCTTACTTACTTCCTTATTAGGTTCTACCTCCACACTCTGAAGTTGAGGCTGGAACTGAACTGTTGCAGGAACAGCACCCAGATTTATTAATTTAATTTGAGTTTGCCCAGCTGCAGGGAAAACTGGATTGTGGTTCTATAGGACAGAAAAAAAAGGTAAAATCAGTGCTCAAGGTCACTTGGAAAAATTACTATAATTACTGTAATCTTTAATATTTCATGTTGAAGATGAGCATCTGCCCAGTGCTCTGTGACTGTCTGACAGAGGAGACTGCAATCAGGTTTTGTTACTAGTCTCATAAGTTGCCTAAGGAAAGATGTCTCTCATCCTCAACAGACACCTCTAGAGGCCTGCTCAGATCTTGGGATGCAATGGATCACCACCCAGAGGTGTTGCCAACATCCCAACTACAGGGGAAAGATTCATTGGGCTCAG